TCATTTTAACCTCCTCATTAGCCCATTTATATCTTGCATAATTTTTGTTGTTTGTATTCTTTTAACCCTTTTTAAAGCTTTTTTTTTGTTTTTTGTTTTTTAATACAAGCTGTATATCAGAATTCCACCACCAAATTTCTTTAGATATAAACCTTTGCATAATACTCTTCAATGACTTCTTTTGATATTATAGTCAATGAGTAGGAAAATCAAATTTACATAATGACAGGCAGTAGAAACCAATATCAGTAAATTTCTTTTTTTGTTTTTGTTTTTGTTTTTTTTTTTTAAATTTATTTTTTGGGCTGTTACTTCTTCAAAATTTTAAGGGTAAATTACTCTAGCCTCCTTTGAGGTTTTGACAAATACAGGGACCTGCACTGTAGTTTCAATAATTACAGAAATTTCTCCTATTTTAACTGACAATATCAAGATTCTCCCATTCCGTCAATTTTGTACAAAAGACGTTATTGCATATACAAAATGACCATATTACCCATTCATTTGAGTGCAAAAAGACAAAATGACCCTCTGTTCACTTCCTCATAAAACCTTATCATGCACGTCACTCTATTTGATAATTACCCCATCTTCATCTCTTCTGCCTCTGAGTTTCCCCTCCATTACACCCAATTTCTACCTTCTCCCTCTTCCTCCTTAGAAGACTCTCCATTGCCACCAAACCTCCAACTTCACCCCCCCAACCGCCACCCCCAACCGCCGAAGGCAGATTCACCAGACCTACGGCGATCCCGATCTCAGAGGTGTTCTCAGGCCTCCTCTCCCCCACTGCCGGCACCCTCTGCTCTCTCTCTCTCTCTCTCTTCCTTCCAACGGTGAAATCGAACCCTCCTCTTTGTCTCTTTTCTCTCTCCCTCTCTCCTTTGCGATGGTGCTCTATTCTCCCTTTGCCTTCCTCATGTTCGTACGATTGTTTTCACAGTAACATAAGCGAGACGAATGTAGATTTGATGATCCCTTGCACAACAACCCATTTTGTTTAAACAATTGCAAGACCCATTGGCGGCAGGCGCATCTTGCTCTCTCGTACAACCATAGCACAAAGACCCATCAATGATTTCATAGAAGACCCATCAATGGGTGATGGAGGTAGAAGAATAGTCGGAGTTGCAGCGCTGGTGTATTCGACCCAAATTAAAGTAGCTTTCTTGTGATTCCCAACTTTTCAAGTTCTCTCTCTCTCTCTCCCTTTATATATATATATATATGTCTGAGTTAGTTTACATGTATTACAACGAATGCTATTGAAAATTTTAGTAATGCTCTAAAAACAACGAATGCTATCTGTAATCTGGAAATTTTAGTAATGCTCTGTAATCTGAGTTGGTTTTTGCAAGTTGATCTTTGAATGTAAGTAATACAGTTGGTATTGTCTATTAGAATATTGGGGATTTGGATGTATATGTACAATAAAGTTAGTTTAATCTGTGAAGGGTCAAAAAGTATTCACGGTGGCTTGTATTTGGAGCTACCTAGTTGAGGAATCGAATTGAAGATGAATGATTTTAGGTTCTAATTTTTCTGGGTTTTATGATGGTGGCTATATATATACATATAACTATTTTTTCTGCTTTGTTTTGATTTGTTTTTTATTTTTTGTTTTGTATTCTTTGATTTTTGAGGGTTTTAAGAAATGGGGATTGTAAAGATTGTAGTTGTTGGTGGTGAGTTTGATTATTGTTGTTTGGTATGAAGTTGTTAGTTTCGTTTACTTTTGATTGAGTTTATTGTTAACTATGTTGTTTGACTGAAGTTGTTAGCTTTGTGAAATAGGAAGGATGACGGAGAGAGAAGTCTAAGAGAAAGATAGAGAGAATACGTTGTGTTTTATATATTTGTTTTTCGCTGTGGAGTAGATTGGGTTTTATTTCATGGAACTTAGCTCGTTGAGTGTTTCAAGACACTTGAGGACATTATGGGCATTTCAGTATTTATCTTTGATGACATTAGCAACTTATGTTAGTTGTGTGAACGACAGTAAAAAAATGGGAAAATCTTGATATTGTCAGTTAAATTAAGGAAGGTTTTTGTAATTATTGAAACTACAGGGGAGGTCTTTGTATTTGTCAGAAACCTCAAGAAAGGTAAGTGTAATTTACCCAAATTTTTATGATCTCCATTTTTTGACCCCAAGTTCTTGCATGCTGATACTGGTGGTTTTCACTATCAGGAATACTAGATGATGCAAAGTGTAAATTGGGAAAACTTAGTCAAATTAGCACATTTGAACCCTAGTCTCCAACATACATGTGTTCTTTAATTTTTTAGTGTATCACATATTTGGTTTTAAATTTTAATATTGTTCTTATAATGATGATTTTATTTATCACCCTAAAGATCCGATCCTTCCACTAATTTTGGTCAAGCCTTGCACTAGTTTGTATAACTGGAAATGCAATTATGTACTGTCAATCGCATAATTTTGTTATCTTGTAATAAAAAATGGTCATTGATTAAAAGATTTAAAATTTTAAATCGGCTTTGCTTCTCACCCTTTATACAGATGGAAGGGTCTCAATAAGAAAAGTAATGATTAATCCAGTTGGTTATATTGGCTGTAAAAAGATAATGATTAATCAAATCCGTAAAATTGGCTATTTGATGGTTGAACAGATTGATTGAGTAGATAATATTTAGACACCTATTGTTGAAAGATATCGTTGGTAGGAAAAACATTGTCTACAACTGTTGGTGGGTCTGATTAACACTTGGGTCACGGCCAAAACTTGCAATCCTAGTATAGGGCATAAATATTTTTTTTTTTTGGGTTGCATTTTTTAATGAAAAGGCTTAACTTCCACGACATATGGGGCTCAAAACTAGATCTAACTGACCTGAAATTTTATTATGCAAAAACATTTACTAAAGTCTTTATACAACAGTTATACATAAATAGTATTGGTAAACTTTGGTCCCTAAGTAAGTGAACTTGCATCACATCACCCAAAGTTACTTTTCCATGAACACCAAGTAACTCTTAATTTGGTAATGTTAGGAGCACAGACACTTTTAAGAATGTAGTGTGTTCGTGTTGTGTCCATATCGAACACGCGTTTGATATACTTCTAAATGTATCCTATTGTAGTTTAAAAAAAAATTAAAAATTAAACTTGGATACACTTTAGACACTTGGGGACAAATGTACATTGCTTAGACACACATGAAACACATTACAAGCTATGAAGCACACATACTCCAAAAAAGGCCTCATATGAGTATTGGATATGAGTACGCGTTCGACACAGCCATATACGTAGTGGATATGGAAAATAAGTATCCAATTTATTGATTTATTTATTTTTATAAATAATTTTTCTAATTTTAGATACGTGAGGATACGGGTGGGATGCGAGATACGCCAACTAAGTATCTAATTTATTTTTTTTTAATTTTTAATTTTTTCAAAGGTCAGTGCTTTGTTCCTCTATTTCTATATCTCTTAATATTCTGTTGGGCTTGCTTTGTCTTTTGATTATCCCCTTGTGATAGACTAATCTCTACTGTGTTAGCCTTGTTATAGCCTTGTTCGTGTCATGTTGGTTTCAGGTTGTGTTGTGTTCATGACCATGCCTATTAGCTAATACCCTAATAAAACTAAGGTTCTCCCTTAAACTTAGAAATTTTAGAAGTTAGTTCTATGTTGTACTTTATGTTATCTTTGAATAAAGTATTCATATATATGTGACATATAATAATATATAAAATTATATATTTCTGTGTGTTTTGTTTTGTATTTTTTTAAAAAAAATTGTTAATTCAGCATGTCTGTGTCAGGCTGATTCATGTTGCGTGTTTAAACTGCTTGGACAAAGCCATGGTGTCAAGTTCGTATTGACGTAAGTGGTGGATGAACCTATTACAAGCCCATAAATCCATCATGGTTTTGAAGTTTATCAGAAGTAATAATGCGACTTATTAATGCAAAGAAAGGGGGAAAGGAAAAAAGGAACATATCTTGAACTTTGATCATATCATATAAGTAAACAAGAAGTAGTGGAGTCAAATTGTGGTAGCATTTGTCATTTGGCAGCAATTAACAATTATATCTTGCTAGTTAAGCCAAAAAATAAGGGGGAAAATAGTATAAAGGAGTAAATAAACTCAATCAATTGTTGACAAATTATTGATGGGAATCGGAAAGACATTGGATGACAATAAGGGGTTGTTTGAAATGATCTAAATAAGTGTACTTTTTGACTTTTTATGAAAAAACGTGAAATATGGGTTGGGTTTGAAGTGATGCGGTAGAGAGATGATGTGATTTAAATAAGAGGATAGGACTTAAATAGGATAGTGACTTTTTGACTTTTTTGGGTTATGCCAAACTAGGCCTACATTGAAGAACATATGAATTTTTGTATGATTAGGAATTATGCTTTTAATAGAATTTTTTTTCTTGTATTCTTCTTCTATGCTACATCACTTATTGTATTATGTATGTTTCAATGAAATAGTTATGATAAAACTTAAAATTTAACTATAAAGTATGGATACTTTGAAAAACATGCTGTATTCGTATCAGGTACTTACCTGAATTTTTTGTTCTTAATTTGTACCGTACTTAGATGTACCTTGTATATACCCAAATCGTACCGTATCTCAGTTAAAATAATATTTTCTTCTACTACAGAGACAAAACTCCTTTTACTAGATTTCTTTTTTATTTTTTGTTTTATGCTTAGCATGATTTTAAAATTAAACTATGATTTGTAAGTTATTTAATATATTAACATTTAATTTTGATTTTTCTCTTTACTTTTGGCATTAAATGTTAAATGTAGGTTGGACCTTAACAAATTAAGCCATTTAATTAATTTTTGCATTACTCTAAATTAAAAATAAATATTTTTTTGCAAGCGTACCAAGCCGTGCCCATACTCTATTTTTTTTTTTGAATTTTACCATAACGATGTATTCGTATCGTATCAGTGTCAGTACTCGTACTCATACCCGTGCTTCATAGAAATTTAATTATACAGGCAAATGTTTTACAACCACATGGACATGTATTCCAATCTCTATTAGGATCAAATTATTGGGAAAGCATACAACAGTCCCAATTCAGGCGTGATGATGTTGATGGCTCAATTTGGGGGTTATTGATGTTGCAGCCGTCACAGAAATAGAGGGGCGAAGAAGAATGGAATTAGGGATGAGTGAGAAGGTCCACCTATGATGGCGTTTGTTTTTGCTTTTCTTGGGTCACTTCTGGTTTTGGTCAGTTGACTTGGCTGCTGGGCAAGGTATATATGAAAATTTGTGGTGATGAATACTGCTACTAAATTTTGTAATTGAGGGAGATGAGTTGTGATGATGGATACTGATTGCTAAAATTTGGAGAGAATTTAGTCAGAGAGGGGGAAGTGACTGAATTTTGGGTCTTTGTTTTAGTGAGGAGTCTTTATAGCAATTTGATTTGTAATAAGAAATCAGGGGATGCGGTGGGGAATCCACCTCTGGTTACATTCCTTATACTGCAGAGAAGCAAAGGGAGTGAAGAGGAGAGAGAGAGAGCCCACTTTCAATCCATCACTTCTCATTTTCTCATTTACAAAATTTCGACTCATCAATTATTAATTTTCCATATATTCTTCGAAGACAAGTCTTCGACTGTGCCTTCATGTTTCAACTTTATTTTTTCAATGGAAAAAAATGTGAAATAACTTTGTGTTTAATGCTTTGTTGCTTTTTTGTGAAGAATGCAAGAACCACCGATTGACAATGATGATTGCTGTGATTAGGGAATGTGTATACACTTATATATATATATATTTATTTGTATTTGATTATATGTAAATATTAATGAGATACTAGTGAATTAATACCCTATTGGCATACAAGATCAAGAGCTCAGTATAGTGTTTGACTTGTTTGATTTGATGGGTTGTGAATGAACTAAACAAGCAAGAATTCCCATGGCCAACAATGCCATTGCGAATACAAACCCACCACCATGTTTATATATGTGATCACTAATGGCAGTAAAGGGTAGGGGTGGACTGGGTAGTTGGTGGGGGAAGAAAGAATGTCTGGTTGTCTGAATAGAAAATCTTACTTTTGGTATTTAGAAATTCAAACTCGTTGACTTGTTAATTGCTTTAACAGTGACTGAACAGAGGGGAGGTTTGTGCATATTGTCAGAGAAAGTAGGGCAAGATTGTAATTTTAGGAACTATAGGGGAGGTCTTTGTAATTGTCAGTAGCCTCGAGGGAGGTTCGTATAGTTAGCCCAACACTTTCCCGCCCCCACACCACCCCTGTCACCTCTCCAATTTTTCTCGCCTCAACAAAGAGTGGGCCAGGGACAGGACACCACAAACGGGGCCTTGCCAATCTCTCTAGATCTGATAAAACTGAGTGGATTTTCTCCCTTACCCACAAATATATTGCCACAGTTACTTGGGACTCTATTAGGACTCCCCATCCAGCTGGTATATGTCATAAGTTCATTTGGTTCCCTAAGTCTGTTACTTGCCACTGTTTCATTTTTTTGGCTTGCAATAAGGGGGAGAATTAATAACCAGAGACAGATTTGCTTAATTGGGTCACTATTAGCAACACCTCTTGTATTTTCTGCAATCAGGGCATTTGAACTCTCCACCACGTAATGTTTGATTGTCCTCTCTCCATATGTTTGGAGAATTTGTTACTCATAGGTATGTAATTAATTGGCTGAATGCACTGGTGTATTACATATGGCAATAGCAAAATAATAGGATATTATGTGGCACCCATCATAATGCTATGCAGCTGATCCAGTTTGATATTCGGACAAAAGCTTGACAGTTTAGAAATGTTAAAGCTTCTCCTCTTAATGCGAGGATCTATAGTAATAGGAATATTCCATGTAATTTGACTTGGCTTCTCTTAGCTTGTTATTGATTGTTTTGTTGTTTGTACCGAGTCTTGAGAGGTATGCCTGGCTTCATTTTGTATTCTTTGTTTACTTCTTTATTTATGAAACTGTTCACTTTACCTATTAAAAAAAATGAAAAGAAATAAAAGAGTACGGAAAGGTGATGCCAAGCATCTTATTGACACAATAAATCATCATGCGCTAAAATATAACTATGGAAGTGACATTTGGCACTGTTTAAGCTGGATATGGCAGCCGGAGAATTTTGTACATAACTGCAACATTTCATGAAATTCTGCTGTAGATGCATAATGCATCTACATCCAAGGAAGACATGAAAACTTTGATTATGAAGAGGACACACTACTATGTGAAGTGAAAGATACACATGCATTATATATACCTACATTAAAGCCGAGAACGTCAGGGATACACCTACATAACATATGATCATTAATTATGGCAATGTTCGTGTTTTATGTACAAATGTGAATATTTGTGCCTTCGCATCTATATATACTTTGACATAATGGAAAAATAAGCATTGTAGCATGGGACGCGAACTAGTATCCTATTTGCTTCCCCCAAGGATTTCTATCTAAGGTTTATATTTTATAGTTAAAGCATATTGTGACAATATTTGTTTTGATTTGTAAATCGTAATGCTAAAAGGGCCAATTACAAACAATTCTGTTTCTTACGTGATTGTTTTCTGCTTTGTTTTTGAATTTCAAAAGTTGAAGCATATTGCTACTGTAAAAAGGTTTTTGACGCATCCTCTCATATTGATTAGTTGCAGGCTTGCAGCTGATCCGTTGCAATCAGCACCAACAGTTACTAATCTCAACTTTCAAGTGGGTCGCTTCAGCTTCTTTTGGTTTTTTCAGGTGGATATATACAGTTTGTATCATTGTTCTTGAGAAGATACCAATGTAAACTGCCCTAATGTTATTACTCAAGAAGTTTATTTACTTCATTTGATGAGAGAGATTCATATTATAATCTTTCCTTTAATGGCAGTTTTCTTGACTTATGAATCATTTAGTGTTATAAATATTCTTATGAACTTGTAAGTCTTATCTCACATTAAAAATCTCTCAAATGAATTAGGCCTATATTTAGAAACGTAATAAGATAATAGTGTATATATTAGAAAAATATTTTATTATCATATTTTAAAAATGTCATGTCAAAAATTTAATAAGACAATAGTACACAATTAGAATGATGTCTCATTGTCACATTTGAAGTATGACACATTAGACAAAAATTTAATTTGTCAATAGTGCACACAATAGAATAATGTCCTATTGTGACATTTTAAGAAAAATGACACATTTAACAAAAGTTTAATAAAATAATAGTGTACACATTAGAATGATATCTCATTGTCACATTTTAAGCATGCCACATTTGATTTTTTGGAACATTAATTGTCATAATTATATTTTGTGTATGAATTTAAAAGAAGAGCAAAATAAAAAATTTATGTTATTCTAATAATTGATTTTTGAAAATGAATTAATATTTTAGGATAATGAAAAATAGAATAAGAGAGACTAAGCTTTGTTTGATAGAGCTTTCTAAATTTAATTCCATCTCTTGGTTTGAGTGTGATGTTTGGTTATAGTTTTCAAAAATTGATTCCACACTCATTTTGAAAATACGTCTACCTGGTCATCCTCCTGACGTCTGGAGAGACGTCTAGCCGGTTGATTGGAACAGTGTTCGTTTTTTTTTTTTTTCTGTTATTTTTATATTTTAAATAAAAAATATTTTCGGATATTTTCTTAAATTTTTTATGAGTTTTGAATAAAATTTTGGATTGTATGTTTGGTTATGAGCTGTAAGTTTTTGAATCAAATATCATATGTCACATCAAAAATTTCAAACTCAATTCAAAACTCATAATCAAATAAATTTTTCACAGAGATTTGGGGAGGGATTTGGAAAGGGAAAGGGAAAAGGTGTGTGAAACTATGTGAAATGTAGGTATATTTTTTTCACATTTTACCTACCTTTTCCATTTTCTTTTCCAAATCCCTCCTCAAATCCCTCAATCAAACACAGTATTAAGGTCAGCAAAAATGTCATACAGACTTGCCTAGATAGCATCTCTTTTGCATTTTTATTCCTTTGCTGGATTGATTTTTTTTTTAACTTCTTCTTCTCTCTCTTTCTTAACTTTGAACATGGATAGACTGCTATCTAATCGATCAGTAACATTGCTTTGGGGGGGAGGTCGGATTGACTGTGTTCTTCTTCTACGCCTATTGCCAGGTGCTTCAATTGCTGCACTCAAACCAACCAAAGACTTGTTGAGTTTCCCATGTCTTTATATGGAGGGACAGTAATCTACAATTGACTGTACCTTATAATCTATCTATTTATCTATTATTATTATAAAAGTGTGAACAACCAGCATATTTTTTTATTTTTTTTTAAATTCTAATTTTACGCCTTTTTAAATCTATTATATTTTTTAATAATCATAAAAAATCTTATAAAAATCAACTATACTTTCCAAGAGTCCTATATAAATATACATAAACCGTCTCTATTCTTATATAAAAAAATAATTTGTCTCCCTATTTTTTACATTAATGATAATTAAAAAATAAAAAATAATTACTCTTTATTATTTTTTGTGTCTTCTTCTATATTGATATACATAATATTTATAATTATTCATCATTGATGAAATCATTGTGAATAATTTTGGTTGAATCTTAAACTTGTATGCTTTTATTCGAATCTAAAGAAAGGAAAATGCATTCTTTTTTAAAATAGAGATTTGTGCCACATCTTAAAAATTCACAGGTTATCTTTATACACATTCTTTTTGTTTAAATTATATTTTATGAACTGCAATATTTTGTATGGTACTTTAATAACTAAGGTATGATGTCAAAATTCTAAACTATAACCACTTTTGTTGTTTTCATTTTTTAAATTTGTTTTTAATTTTTTTTTTTTCATATTTTCTTAGTTTTGGAGATTAAAGATATTAGAATTTCTTCATATTTTATAATTAAATTATACTTTTATATGAAAATATAGTATCTAATAATCTAAATAGAATTAAAAAGTGATGTTCAAACATTTATTGATTTTTTATTATTATATTTTTTTGTTGTTATTATTATTATTATTATTATTATTATTTAATATTAATAATTTTTTTTCCCAAAAAGAATACAGAACAAATTATTTTCTATGTGGAATTTGATTAAGTGAATCTAAATCTGAAAGTAAAATTAAAAAATAAAAAAACATTAAATTTAGTGAATCTAAAAAGAAAACAAAAGGATTATTAAAAAAAGAGTGTCAAAGACAAAAAAATGAAAACCAAAAAATTCAAAACTAAAGTTTGAAAAAACAAACTAAACCAAACTCATATAAACTTTTCTTTTTTTAAACCCTTCTTTACTAATCTCTAATTTTACACATATTATTCACAAATTTCTTTCAATTTTTATGTGAATTTAATAATCTAATTTAAAAATGGTGCATACACACAAAAATGTAAAACTAAATATCTACATTATAACCAATTATTTAATTATGAATAATTAACTTCTCATTGTTACTTTTATTATATTGTTCCAAAAGATTTCATATATTATTTTTGTTATATCTTATATATATATCAATGTCTACATATATAAATATATAAAAAAATGTATATGAATGTAAATTTATATATGTTACTATATTCATACATTATCAATCTGTAATGTTATATTATCATCGGATACTTTAATTTTCTAAAATGTATTGCTTTAGTAAT